TATATATATATATATATATATATATATATATATATATATATACATGTATATATATACAGTATATAAACTGCATTTATCTTACCTGGAAAATAATAATAATAATTGATACTTCTGGGGAAATTGTTTTTATGCTTCCCTCAACTTGCTCTTTTTTTTTGGAAGCGTAAATTGCCTGCGAAGGGCAGCCACCTGTTGGGGTGCCCAGAGAGCTGGGGGTTAAGGGCCTTGCTCAAGGAACCGCAGACATGCTGAGGTTGGGTTTGAACCGGCGACTTTGTGATTACAGGCACACAGGCTTAGCCCATTGAGCCATGTGACACTCTATACCCCTATTGTTCAAATCACGGTCCTCGAGGTCTGAGCACTGCTGGTTTTCCAGTCTTCCTTTACCTGTGAGTCAGGTGTGAAGCCTCTGACCAATCAGAATCAGTAATTATTAAACTAACTACCTGGGAGAACTGAAAACAAGGCCTGGATTTGGAATCGAGGTCCAGATTTGAAGAACCCTTCTCTATACTGTACTTACAAATTCACTTCTCCCAATTCAATTTCAGTTTCATCGACCGCAGGTTCACAACGCAACTCATTTCCACGTTTACAACAGTTCTGCAGGTCGGGGTTGTAAACGTGGAAATGAGTTGCGTTGTGAACCTGCGGTCGATTACTTTTCCTCAAGGACCCGAATTGTGCATCTCAATAAATTGAAATTGAATTTGCAAACTGAAATTGAATTGGGAGAAGTGAATTTGGAGGAACACCTGTTCTGCTATATTTTAATCTTTATCGTACCACCACTTCTCACAAGTTGCCAGTACTCTGCTACTCAGAGACGAGTGCCACGCGAGAGTGGCGGGGCAGCGCGCGCAGTACCGACAGTGTTGTTGAGGTGCTTCTGTTGTTCCCAACACCCCCACCGCAGTTCTCGCGGTCAATATATTTTCCAGGTAGGATAAATGCAGTTTCAAGTTAATTGGAATTCAGATTCAAACTAATAAATTCAGATTCAGTTTTTTAATACAACAACTGCAGATTCAAATATACACTATTCATATTCAGTTTCTAGTGGCACAAATATCAGCCCATAGATGATGTATATTTTGTAAAAGTAATTATTAATCTTAATAAAATAGTGTGACTAGAGGCTGTTATTCAGGAATACAACCTGCTAAAATAAAATGTGCTAAGAAATAAGAATATTTCTGATGGTAATTTAATTCAATATGAATTTGAGTTATGCATGTTCTTATTTGTTTTTCTTTTTTTAATTACTTAAGGCATTCAGTCAGTGGCGTGTGTCATGTGTAAAAGTTATTTTTAAAATTTGCACAGCAGATAGAATTTGGGTGATCCACTGTCCAAAGTACAAAGAAAAAGATCTGAAGATATAAGTGAAAACTGAAACAGAAATTGCTACTTTTTGTATTATCTCTGTTGGTCCTGCTACATTAGGGACTGAGTGAATATTGCAGTTTGGAATCTTAAAAAATGTGTTCTTTCTGCTCTCTGTTTGCAGTGTGGCTGTCACACGGTCGAAGGATGTACCCTCTTTTGGGCCCCTTATACCCAAGGGTGTGACTTTTCCCAAATCATCTGTGTTCCGGGACTTTTTGCTCTCTAAGGTGATCAATGCCGAAAACGCTGCCCACAAATCGGAGAAGTTCCGGGCCATGGCTACACGAACACGTCAGGAGTATCTGCGGGACCTCGCAGAACACCATGTGACAAGCACGCCTATCGACTCCTCTGGCAAATTCCCCTTCATCTCACTGGCTCACAAGCGCAAAGAGAAGAGTCGGCCCTACAATGGGGCAGAACTTCGAAGTCTGGGTGCCGTCACATGGTCTGTGCTTGCAGAAGACCATAGCACGGGTGGCCAGCTGGACTGCCTGTTGGCTATATCCAATGAATTTCTTGTCCTCCTGGACACTGACGCTAAACTACTGGTGTTCAACTGTCTAGTGCAGGATGTGATTGGCTGGACACAAGTCAATGCCACCTCCATGAAGATCTTCTACGAGCGTGGTGAATGTATCTCTCTGCGCTCCGTCAACAATAACACAGAAGACTTTCGTGAGGTCATTTTGCGTCTGGAGGTGAGTAAATATTCTCTCTTTTTTGAAAAACATTTAATTTTAGGTGTCAATGCTTTTTATGGAGTTAGACTAAGAACCGTAAACATAGGGCTCCAGTAAAGTAAAACAGGAGAATAATGCATTTTTAAGACAGTTATAAAAATCTAGAATCCTTCTTCCTGAAAATTCAGTCTTTTCCTACAAGAGTCCACTGCTGTGGTATGCGATTGGCTTCAGTTACTCAGTGGTTAGGACTGTTGCTTCACACTTCTGGAATTAGAGTTAGAGTCTCCACCAGGGTTCTGAGTGAGGAGTTTGTATGTTCTCCCTGTGTCGTTGTGGAGGTTAATTGGAGTTGCCCAATTGCAAATAGGTGTGAATAGTGTGTGAATGTGCGCTATGATGGGTTGGTGCCCCATCCTGGGTTGTTCCCTGACTTGTGCCCATAGGACTTTACAGCCGTTGCAGCACACTTTCTCTCACCTTTTGCACCAGGCAAAGACAGCACCTGATCATGAATCAGAGAAAGATATCGGGTTTAATTGTACCGTAGCCCCAGCCTTAATGCCAATCTTCCTTCGAAAAATAAAAAAGTCAAGCCCCGGATAATCTTACCCCTGATCGTTTTAATAGCTAGAAACTCCCCTGGTTTAATTACTGACTCCAATAGCAACACAACTGCATTATTTAAAATTAAGATGAGCCAGCCACTGCAAAAAATGGCCTGTGATATTTAAGATAAATTGCTTCTGTTTTGAGGCAAGATGGCCTAAAACCGGCAAAATTATCTGCCAGTGCAGTAAGAAAATTGTAAGATTTCCTAAAGTAAGGCAAATATCCATAAGATTTTTAGTCAGTTTATTAATGAAATTAGAATTTTGTCTAAATAAAAAAATATATACTTGCTTCGATCTTCATTGTTTGCAGTGTTATAGTAGTCTACTGGCAGATGGTTTTACTGTAAAACATTTTAAATTATATTTCATTACATGGAGGCATATATTCTACAGTCTGAGAGATTATAAGTTTAATAAGCTTTTAGATAAAGGTCCCTGTTCATTCAACATTTTATAAATGGATAAAAAATAGAAGTCTGTCTATTTTGAATTTGTGGTAGTGTGCGATATGTGTGGGCACTTGCGTACAAAAGATAAGGACATGTATCATTTTGCAGTATCTTGCATTGAGATTTTTTAAAGTTACCATTGCATCTTGTCAAACAGTAATATACAGGGAAACAATCCAGACACTGAACCCGCTGGAAATCCATATCTGACAAGTCACAGTTTAAGGCTATTAAATGCAGTGATAATCATTTAAGTAGAAAATCCACAGATAATCAAACTGCCACATTAACAGTGCAGTTAACACCCCCCACTAAAAGCGGGGTGGGGGGCACACCATACTATACTAAACATTTCAGAAATAATTAACAACCAAGGTGAAAGATATCAGCAATATCTTTATTGGTGCACAGATGGTGGTCGAACACGAACAGTTGCACATAAAATAATCATATTCAAATAAAATTACTACTGGGTGCAGCAGTTTTGATTTATACAATTATTACAGATTATGACAGTTATTAAATTATTACAGTATTACAATGGGAACAATGGACTCACATCAAATACACTTGTGACTTTCATCCACAGCACCCACATACAGTATCACATCTTGCAAGTTTACACAGTGTACCAGTGTCCACACATCAGCTGTTATACATGGAAAAGCATATAAAGATTGAAACTTACATTCCCACCTTGCCTCAAAAGATATTACTGACCCTAATACTGGTGATTAATATCCAAATAAAAAAATGGGAGGTAATAAAGAAATTTTAAAATGTTTCTTAACCAGTTAGTCTGCATCCATACTGGGACACAAGTACTACTAAATGTTGCTGTTCAACATAATACAACCAACTTGAATAAAGTATTAGGGCCTGCGACTGCAAAATGTAGCCTATAATAGTTCATAAAAGAAAAAATATACAAATTGAATGCTTCTAATTATGTGTAACAATCCAAAGATGCATCAACATACTATTTTCCAAGGTAGTAATAAGTTGTTTGCCTACACAATAAAATCCAAATTAAGCCACATGCATATGCACCAAGAAGAATCACATCATAATACTGTATTACTGTAAGTAGTGCTATCCCAAACGATTATTCTTTAAACAATTAATCTAGCGATTTATTTGAATATTCGACTAATCTAACAACTAATTTTGATTGATCTGATGATAAATTTATTGATAAGAAATTATTTTCAAGTTTCATTTAAAACAATTCACCCCTCCCCCCACACACAAATCTGAAATTCTCATTAACATTTCAATTTATTAAAACATTTCTTATACATTAGAGCATTATTAACAAAATCTTAAGAGATTCAACAGGATTTCTATGTTAGACTGAAGTTAATAATCACTGCAATAATTTTTACTTTTTTCAGTACACCAATTTGACTTTAATGTTGAAATATATGCTAAAACATGGAATGATTTCACAACTAGAGAAACATGTTTTTAACAAACACTAGCAAAGGTAGCTTATAGTTAAGCTTACTACAGTCAGCAAGGAACGATTTAGGATACAGTGTGTAAGAGTAGTCGTAAACGATAACTTGTCTCACTCTTACATGACAGAATAAGTAAACAGAAAATATAAAACGGCTGAAACAGCGTCATTAACGTCAGCTACAGTAGAGGTGCAGAAAAGGTGTCATGACTTAAGTATTCTCAAACTTTGGAAGACCGCGCGCGAGCCTTTTTTGCCGCATGTTTCTCCAGAGGCTCCGGAGTTCTGCTGGTAGACGCAGCCATGTTCCCTCCTGCGCGGGGGAGAGCGGGGCGGGACGGACGGCACATTTCCTTTTTGCAGGGTGGTAGATGATGTCTATTAATATTTATGAGAGAAGTGCTACATGATTGGCCAGTGCGTGCCTTGCAGACAATGATGCCAACTGAGTTTTTTAGACCCCTCTAGCGACTCGTTTTCAAAAAAGCGACTAGCGACAAATGGTGATATTGGAGACTGACGTGAAAACACATATCGTTCTTACTCTTCTCACCTAGCAGCGGGTGCTGCCGTGGGCTCCTCTCCTGTCCCAAAGCCACAGGCGGACAGTCCTCGCGCAGCAGCCCCACCCAGCTGCACTCAGAGCAGGATGAATCGCGAATAACTTTGTATTGTAAATGAAAACAATGCTGCAGGTCCAACAAATAAAATATTTTAGCTCTCGAGTGGCGAAGAGATCATCAGGTGGACAGTAAAGTTCAGTTACTGGCAGACTGTTTTATTGCGCGGTTCTTAAAAGGACAGCGTTAACGTGCTCTCGAAGGGATAAAGTACTTTCCCTTACAATACATTTAGTATTAAGGATGCAACCTACTCTTGTATCGCAAAGATAACCTTGCGATGATTTCCAAGGCTAGCTGCAATGTGTTACGTTTGCTCCATGCTCATGAAGGCTAGCTACAATGTGTTACGAGTGTTTCTGTTTCATAAACATTTTCCTCCGGGATAATAAACGTCTTCTCTGTCTCCTCTCACAGCATTTTACTCCAAACAACCAGGCATGCTGAGCAATGCCCTAAAATGGTTTGCCTTTCCATTGTACTTAATACACAAAAGTAATTCGTTGCACTTACGAAATGAACCATTTTCATACCATACAATCATAAAATGCAGAAACTTGCCATATTGAGTGCCATCTCATATGCCATTTCACCTGCTGCCCAATCAATATATATATATAGAGATGTAAATGTAGGTAGGAGCTCCTCTCACCTGTTACATCATGGCCAGGTGCCACCTGTTGCATAAGCCTCTGAAGCAAGGGCTTTAAAGTGTTCGAAATTAAATTTGTGGGGCTGCAAGAGGGAACAGAACCATAATACACATGAAACAAATCATCCTGGATTTTTTTTTATCTATAAGAACCAGTACAGTACAAAAGGCAAGGGCTACCTTAGCATATACCCAAACAAGTCTGGCAACTAAAAAACCCTAAAAAGAAACTAATAATGAAGTGTGGTAGAGACAATCCATGACATACCATCCTTGATCATGGTGGCCTTCTAAATATTAAACCTGTGTTTCTAAAATTAAGCCTAGTAAATATCTGAATATTAAATGAGCAAAATGATTTAATTTGTTCTTCTTTCCCAAGTCATGGTGTAAAAGCAATGAGGCCTCCACCCAGTATATCTACTCCAGGGAAAATGCACCTGTATAACCACTAGGGGTGCTCTCACCTTCGCTCAGCTCTGATAAATACTTAATGTTATGCAGTCTAGCAACCAATTCACTTGGTTTAATTAGACATGAGAAAATTTAGTGAGATTAGCTCAACTATATTCTGTTCTCAGAATAAGAATGAATGCATTAACTTGAAAAGAATGCTTCAATTGAGTTAATTCAAAGTATTTTTTTCAGTGCAGGAAGAACCAGGATATAAATTCATGCACTGGCCACCCAGGCGCAGTTACCATCACAGAATCCTTGCATGCCATCTGGACCATGATACTTGCTCCAAATTCTGTACAGTTATGGAACTGCATGCTTTTCGCTTTCCATCAACAATAGCCACAGTTAAGTACTGGACAGTATTGAGCGCTGGCACATTATTCTTGTTCCTACATTTGTGAAATATATAGCTGATACCCTAGTCATGCTGGTAACACAGCATGGCAGCTTAGTCTTGTTTTTAAGGATTCGGTGCTGCTGTTTCTTTAGTTCCTTGACCATGTTCAGAAGTGATCAGTTCTCTTTCTTTGCTATATAAAGAGTCACATTTCTCAAATAATCTCTCAGTCACCAAATGGTTCACCCATGTATGGACATCTGTCTAAGATGTATTTCCATGCAATATCTCATGTGAGTCAAAATTTGATTTGGACATTTCCTGACCTGTCTGTCGGCTACTGGGTGAAACAGTGGCATGCATTGGCTAGGAACAGCTGCCCTCCGCAGAAATGCCTTCTCTGGGCTGCAGGAAGGCAGAACAGTTTT